GTATACCAAGACATGGACAACTATTTGGAAGAAAACAAGAGACAATATGATAGATAGTGAAGATCTCAGGTTGTGTATAGCTTTGAAATTTGCATCTCTTACATTGCTTTCTTGTGTCCTATATTGTTCTGTTTTGTTGTGTTTAATTTTACCCACTTTAACAAAACTGAGTATGCAAGACAGAAAGGGAAAAAAGCACAAGTTTCACAATAAAAGGTAAATTTCAACATTTGTATTTAGTTACAAGACTAGCACATTAAACACAAAAAAGAGATAAAGTAATCGAGATCTGTGTTAAGAGCCTGATTGTATCACTCAGTATGAAAGTGTTTTCAGTCTCATAATGTTTCCTCTTAGGTTGTATTTTTTCTGTCCTTTGCTATGGCTCATGTTTGTAGTAGTGTTAACATTCAGCACTGCCAGTAAACTGTAATTGCAAGTAAATAGCATTAAACCCTATTTTGGCATAATTTAGAAATTCTTACATATCCTACACCATGTGTGTACTGTTCCTTGTAAAAACTTTGTACAAAAGTTATCTGTAAAAAGATGTTTAACTTTACATTGTTAAAGTTTTTTAAAAACTATCAAACTTTAACAAAAAATCATTATTTCTTCGGTATCAGAGATCTGCATATTTCTTTTGAAAAGAATTAGATAGTAAACAGGTTTTCCAAACCATAGTCTCTCACTGCTCAACTCTGGCACTGTAGTGCAAATGCAGCCATGGACAGTATACAAGCAATTAGGTTTATACATTTGTATATGTAACTTACTGTATTTACAAAATCAGGAAGCAGCCTAAGGGCCTAACAGTGGTACGCCACAGTTGCCGCAGTCTGTAGATGCTTAGTTAACATTAATGATTTCTATCAGTGAAGATTTCTTTTCTGGGAGAAGGATAGTCTCACAAAAAAATGGTACCGTGGGGCTGGGGATTTAGCTCAGTGGCATGAGCATCTGCCTTGCAAGCAGGCAGTAGTGAGTTCAATCCCTGATACTGATAAAAACAAAAAAGACCAAAAAAAAAAAAAAAAAAAAAAAAAAGGTACCGCATGCCTGTAATTTCAGTCAGCCTATATAGAGAGTTGAGATCAGCCTAAATTACACAGAAGCCTGTCTCAAAACCTTTGAAAAAAAAAAGTTAAAATTCACAACCAAGCACAATCAACTGCTGAAAACTAAGGAAAAAAAAAACCTGGAAAGCAATCAGAAGAATGATACATTACTTATAGGGAGGGAATAATTACAGTAAGAACATATTTATCGTTAAAACCATGAGGCACACCACTATTTACTGAAAAAAATTATAGAACAGGTTTCACATTAACAACTCAAGTGTCCTACAAAAAAGAGCAAAACAATTGAAAACAAGCTGAGGAAGAAATAAAGATTTTAAAAAATGAAATTAAAAACAGAAAATAGAAAAACAGGGTTGTTAATGTAGCTCAGTGCCTAACATGTGCAAAGCTTTGGTTTCTATATGGAGGGAAGAGTAAGGAAGGGAAAGTAAAAATCAATACAAGCAAAAAAATTCTCATTGAAACTTTTAGCAAGACTGACAAAGAAGGGGCTGGGGATTTAGCTCAGCGGCATAAGCACCTGCCTTGAAAGCAGGCAGTTGTGAGTTCGATCCCCGGTAACGATAAAAAGGAAAAAAGACAAAAAAAAAAAAAAAAAAACAAACCCAAACAAAAAAAACACCAAAAACTGCAAGATCAAGTTAGTACATTAGGGATTATTAGGCAAAATTCAGGGTCTTTTTTTTTTTTTTTTCTTTTCTTTCTCATTTTGAGTCTTTTTGAGGGTCTGGCTGTATAGCTCAAGCAGGCCATGAACTCTTTAGGTAGCCCATACTGGCCTCACAGTAATCCTCTTGCCTCAGCCTCACAAGTGCTGGGATCAGGGTCTTGCAACAGCAAAATTCAGTTATCTGTGCATGATAAAAGCACTCAGCAAATTAGAAGTAGATAAGATCTCCCAAAATCTGATAAAGAACAAGAATTCTACCGATGTCGACATACTTCATAGTAAAAAAACCTAAATACTTGTCCCTTCATATACTTAACAAAGCAATGATGGACATGCCCTTCATCATTCCTGGTCAGTATCATTCCAAAAGACCTAGTCACCATCATAAGAAATGAAAGCCAGGCCTGGTGGCTGAAGCAAGAGGACTGTAGCATATTCCACGCTGGGTTACATAGTGTGTTAAACACCAGTCTGAACTACACGGTGAGCCCCTTGTATCCAAAAGACAGACAGAGACACAAAAGATACACAGATGAAAAGAAATGAAATATCTATTCACAGATTTGATAACCTATAAAGATTTTTAAAAATCACACTTTTATTTATGTATTAGCATTGGTTTTCCATGGAAAACCATACTTTACAAAACAAGTATATTTATAGTAACAAAAATAAAAAACATTTACATAAAAATGTACAGGATATGTGCTGACAAGTACAAACAGCTGATAAATCAGAGGCAATATAAACAAAACTGCCACGTCCTGGAAGGGTGAGTTGTCACAACAAAAGATAGTAATATCTCCCAAATTAAGTCTTAAGAAACTTAAATGCAATTTCAATTAAAATCCCAGATGCATTTTTAAAAATATAAGCCAATTCCAAAATTTACCTGAAAAGCCAAACTAATGCTGATAAAGAATGAAGTTAGGGGCCTGGGGATTTAGCTCAGCGGCATAAGCGCCTGCCTTGCAAGCAGGCAGTCGTGAGTTCGATCCCCGGTACCAATAAAAAGGAAAAAGACAAAAAAAAAAAAAAAAAAAAAAAAAAAAAAAAAAAAATTTAAAAAAGAATGAAGTTAGATAATCCCAGTACTTGGGAGGCTGAGGCAGGAGAAAGATTTGCAAGTTTAAGACCAGGCTGAGCTACAAAATTAGCCTCAGGCCAGCCTAAACTGCCTAGTGATACCTTGTCTTGAAAAGTCAAAAAAAGAAATTGGACAAATTTACATGAGTTTTAAGACCCACTAAAAGTTATAATGTAGGCTTGAGGGGGTTAGCTCGGCAGTATAAGAGCCTGCCTAACATGCACAAGATTCTGAGTTCAATCCCTGTACCAGTAAAAAAAAAAAAAAAAAAAAAAAAGAAAGAAAGAAAGAATGCAATATGGGCAAAGACATAAAACTCAACAGAGCACAGAAAGAACTGTATAAATATGACCATCTGATTTTTTAAATTATTTAATTATTATAAAATGTGTATTAAAATTTACCACTTCAACCACACCCATGTACTGTTTACCATTCACACTATTGTGTAACTAATACTATGGCTCTTCCATAGGTTTTTAATCTTGCAAAATCAAACTCCAAACCTACTAAGTACAACAGTTTCTCTTTAACTTCTCCCCTCAACCTTTGGCAACCACTATCTTACTTTCTGTCTCTGAGTTTTACTACTCTAAATACTTCATATGAGTCAAATCACTGCGGTTTTTCTTGTGTGAGAAGCTCATTTCAATTACCATAATGTCACCAAGGTTTATCTTAGTGCAGCATGTGTCACAGTTTCCTTCCTTTTATCTGATCACCCAACAATGACTACTTGGGTGGCTTCCACCTTTTGGTTATTCTAAATAGGCTGCTATAAACAGTAGAATATAAATATCTCTGCTTGTCTATTTTCAATGCTGTGAATATTTCCCCAGAAGCAAAACTGCTGTATCATATAAAAGCTGTATTTGTAATTTCTCGTGAACATCCACACTGTTTCTGTAACCGCTGTATCTGTGGTTGAGAACCTCAATTTCTCCTCATCTTCACCAACACTGTAGTAGCTGTTCTAACAGTATAAAGTTATGTTTCATTGTGACTTTGGTTTGTATTAATGTTTAGTGATGTTGAGCATTTTTTCATGTGCTTGTTGGTACTCTGTGTATCTTCCTTGGAGAAATGTATATTCAAGTCTTTAGCTTATTTTTGAATTGTTGAGTTTTAGAAGGACTCTACATTCTAGATATTAATCTCTGATTATATTTATAATTTGCAAATATTGTCATACTCTGGTGACAGTATCATTTCTGTTGCAAAATTTTTAAAGTTGTCCGTAATCTCAATTTGCCTCTTTTTTTCCCTTTCGTTGCCCATGCCTTTGATAATCATATCCCAAAAAATCATTGTCAAATACAATGTCATTGGGCTGGGGATATAGCTCAGCAGCATAAGCACCTGCCTGGCAAGCATGAAGTCATGAGTTCGATCCCCAGTACCAAAAAATAAAATGAACACAATGTCATTAACTTTTCCCCTAAGCTTTCTTCTGTGATGGTTGGTCTTTGTTCTGTTTCGTTTTTTTTTTTTTTTTTTTTAAATTATGTATGTAAAGACCCAACTTCTTTCTTTTGCATGTTAGCCATTCGGGTTTTCCAGAAGACCCGGTTTGTTGAAGACCCTCTTGATTCTTCCAATGAATGTTTTTGTCTCCTTGTCAAAAATCATTCTTTTAAAATCTTTTCATTTTTATTTTAAAGTGGGTAAAATTAATCACAATAAAACCAAATAAAATAGGACATAAGAAACCAATGTAAGAGATGTAAATTTCAAAGCTAAATGACCTGAGATCTTCACTATCTATCATATTGTCTTTTGGTTTCTTTCAAATAGTTGTCCATGTCTTGGCATACAGAGGTTTCACACAAAACAACATAGTATAAAACTGATCTGACAGAATGAGGAAGGTGTTTTAGGTCTTCAAAACTAGCCAATAGGGAGGTCACTAATGGCTGTCCTAGAGTCTCTCGCTCTCCTCAAAATAGCTGTCCATACTTTCATGTATATTGGAGTTCAAAAATCAAAACAGGTGGTGGGGTGGGGTTGCTTGCTTTCCTGGTGCTCCAGGTCCCAGCATGGCTTGGGTCCCAGTAAACGCTGGAGGCTCCCATCCTGGAGCCTGCCACACTCATAGCTGCTCACGAGTGGGGGGGTGTGTAGGGGGTGTGGGGGGTGTGGGGTGGTGGTGGGGGGTGCTTCAAGCTATTTCTTTCTAATGAATTGACCATTTCACTGCCCAAGTTTTGAAGTGGCCAACACACCATAGAAAGATATTTCTTTAGGCTCTTGCTTGAAACCAACAGCATCAGAAAGCTGCCGGCCTTGATTCAGGGCCAGAAATACTGTTTTGGGCCAGACTCTAGTACACATGGAGTTCATTTTTAACTGAAATTGGAAAATATTTGTTCTTGGTCTTGTTACTTGTTAATTAAGGAAGGCTTGTTTAACTTGCAAGAAGGTAAGAAGTTTTACAAAATTTTGTTAATTGTAAGATACTTTCCCTCATAGAAATCTGGATTTTGTATAGGAGCAAATCACTATATTTTCTCTCCAACATATTGTTAGGCTCTATCACCCACCAGCTCTCTCAAATTTCTCTCTCTCTCTCTCTTTCTTTCTTTCTTTGTTTCTGAGTAGTGTCAAATTTGTTAGGCTGAGTAAAAGAGTAGAGGAAGAGAATGCATTGAGTACTTTTCTCCCAAAATTCATTTCCATGTGGAGCCTTTTGATATGACCTTACTTGGAAATAGGTTTTTTGCATATATAATTGTTAAAATAAGCTGTGTGTGTGTGTCTGTGTGTGTGACTGACTGGCTGACACTACTCTACTGTCTCCCTTCTGTGTCACCAACATGTATGAATAACCTTCCCTAACTCGAATCAGAAACCGAGTAGCCAAATAATGAACCAGATAATTGTGATTCTGTGCAGCATGCCATATGGACCTGAAAGACTTCTGAAGAAATTGTTCAGTCAAGTGTCTGTTATGTTAGTATGCTACAATTGTAGAATACAAGTTTTTTTTTTGTCTTTATCTTTTTTTATCGATACGAGAGATTGAACTCACGACTGCCTGCTTCAAGGCAGGCGCTTATGTTGCTGAGCTAAATCCCCAGCCCCTCAAGTAGTTTTTAAAATAGTTGACTTTTTCTCATTTTCTCATGAGGTTTCTTTAATGACAGCTTATGGTATCCCAGGATTGTGTAGAAATCCATTGGAAAAACCCTGGGAGATTTTCCCAGTTTGTATTTATCTGAGAAAATTTTGAGAGAATGAGAATTTTTATGGTAGGTTAACTAATCGCATGTCTCCAAAGCATCAAAACAGAATTCATCATTTAAAAATGTATACTTTACAGATATAAAAATTGTCTCTACAGGATTTTGCGTATGTGTTCCTGTACTTCATAGTATTTCTTTTGTACTGAGTGACCAAGAGTGACCAGTAAACACCTTTTTTTTGAAGCAGGGCCTTGCTATGTAACCCAGGCTGACCTCCAGCTTATGGCAATACTCCTGCCTTAGCCTTGCCAGTAAATACATTGTTTTACTGTATTACTGAGATTATTCTGGTATATGCTAACATGAACCTCAGATCTCCATATCTGGGACTCAGCTACAGAAATTACATGAATTTTTTTTTTTATTTCATACAAATAATGGACTAGTTGCTCATCAATTTTGTGTTAGTTTAAGGCAATAGAGCTTCAGAACTCTATAATAATCTGGTGTTAGTTCTCCTTGATTATAACATGTTTAATTGATGGTTTTAGAAATTGGTATGTAGAGCCTTGATGATTTTTTTGGGGGGAGTACCAGGGATCAAACTTGCGACCTCACTCTTGCCAGGCAGGCACTTACACCACTGAGCTAAATACCCAGCTCTTCTTTTTTCTTTTTCTTTTAATAGTTTTCTTGTTTTGAGTCATTCACAGGACAAATAAGAGTGTTCTGTGGACTTGTGGTAGGAAATTAGAATGGGATATGCTGGCATCCGAATCCCTTGTCCATGGGAGTTTCCTCTCTGATACAATTCTACTTGGTCATTCTTTAAAGTCCCTTTATAAGAATTCTTCTGCCAGGCAGGTGCTTGTGCCGCTGAACTAAATCCCCCAGCCTACAGAAATTCTATATGGAAGAAATTATTTATGTTAAAATTTTTTTTGAGATTTATTCTCACTATGTAGTATAGACTGGCCTTGTACTATTTATTTTATTTAATTTATTTTATTTTTGGTCTTTTTGGGCCTCAATGTGCAGTTCAAGTTGGCCTTGAGCTTACTTTGTAGCCCAGGCTGATCTCAAGCTCTCAATAATCCTCCTGCCTCAGACTCCCAAGTGCTGGAATTACAGGTATCGGCCACTATGCCCAGTTGGAGTTGAACTCTTGGTGTTTTTCCTGCCTCAGCTTTTCAAATTGGATTATAGGCATGCACCACCATGCCTGACTTTTTCATACTTTTAAATTGTATCTGAAACATCTGTGTGTTGTTTCGTGTTTTGTGAGACCTCAAATTCTCATTCTGAGAAATTTTAGGAATGTCAGGAAACATTTACTTTCAGTGATAGTGATGACTATATCTTTTGAGTGGTCGTTGAATTAGAGGCTTTACTAATTCCCATAACAGGTTGTAAAAGTATTTCCTATAATTTTACTCCAGATATAAAGCCCTTATAAGCTTTTTGTTTACTTTTGGTTTTTTTGAGGCCGGGTTTCATTATGTAGTTCAAACTCATCTCAGACTCACTGTATTGCTCAAGCTGGTCTTAAACACCTGCCTCAACCTCCCAAATGCTAGTTTTAAAAGCGTGTGCCACTGTGCCCAACTTGAGGTTATTTTCTAATTGTCCATACTGATGTCATGCTTAGTGTTTTGCAATAAATGACAGCAAGTAGTTAATTTTTTAAAATTTGGAACAGTTGTCTCAAAATGGCTTTGAATTTCGAGGGAAATTACAAAAGCAGTATAGTGCAAATAACTTATATATATCCTTTACCCAGTTCCACCACTTTTTTTTTGTCTTTTTCATTTTTATTGATACCAGGGATCGAACTCACGACCACACACTTGCAAGGAAGGCGCTTATGCCACTGAGCTAAATCCCCAGGCCCCCCCTTTTTAAAAAATTTTTTTTGTCTCAGTTCCACCACTTTTACCTGTTTCACCGTATTTTCTTATTCCTATACATACTCTGTTTGAGAATAGACTACATATATCATGTGTATTTATCCAGTATTCTCTTGTCTTTTTTTCTTTCGTATCAGGGATCAAACTCACAACCTTGTGCTTGCTAGGCAGGCAGTTGTGCCACTGAGCTATATCCCTGACCCTGTTTCCTTTTTTTAATACAGTATTATTTCTATTTGTTTTCTCTTTAAAATCCATTTTATTTCAAAGAAAAAAAGAAAACAAGATCTCAAAACATGTCAATCAAGGGGCAACAATGGTACATAACATTGCACATTGTCATCCCCAAATCATAGAGCATAAGAAATCTGCATTCAGTTGTCTGGACAATACCAGCACAAGTCTTTTCGTTCAGTGAACTTGGAGAAATCAGTAGTATAATTATTTTAGCGTTTTACACACACACACACACACACACATACACACACACACACGCGCGCACGCGCATACTGTTTTTATCAGCTCCTCACACTAGGGAGACAATAAGATGTTTACACATGCGTATCTGATTTATTTAACTTAAGAATATGGGCTCAAGTTGCATGCGTTTACCTATCAAAGTCTCCAATTTATCCTTCTTTATGTTGACTAGTTCTCTACTACAGAAAAACACCACATCTTTTTTATCCATTCCTCAGTTGATGGGCATTAGGTTTTTAAGATCTAGCTATTACAGATCGTAGTGCTATATAAACATGGGTGCACATATATTGCTATGGCATGATGTTTTTAATTCTTTTGGGAAGATACCCAGAAGGGGAATAGCTGGGTCGAATGGAACCTCTATTCCTAGTTTTTTAAGAAATCTCCACATTGATTCCACAGTGGTTGCACCAGTCTGCACTCCCACCAGTTCATTTGTTGATAATAGCCATTGTTTCTTGGGTGAGGTAGAATCTCAGTGTTGTTTTAATTTGCATCTCTTGAATGACCAATGATGATGAACATTTTTTCACATACTTATTTGCTGTTTGTATTTCCTCTGAGAAGTGTATATTTATCTCAGGTGCCCATTTTGGGATTGGGTCTTTATGGGAGGACTGATTTCTTTTTTCTTTCTTTCTTTCTTTCTTTCTTTCTTTTTTTTTTTTTTGAGTTCTTTAATGTTCTCTATAGTAATTACTTTGGGCTATAGCTGGCATACATTTTCTCCCTTATGGTGAGTTGTCTCTTTATTCTGTTGGTAGTTTCTCTTGCTGTGTAAGAGCTTTTCAATAGGATGAGATCCTAGTTGATTCTTTGTGATAGTTCCTGTGCAATTAGGGTTTTGTTCATCAAGTGTTTGCCTACTCCAGTGTCTTCAAGAGTTTTACGAGCTTTCAGCAGGCTTCTGTTTTAATCTTAAGATCTTTGATTTATTCCAAATTTACTTCAGTGCACAGTGAAAGATATGGTTCAGCTTTAATCTTTAGCATTTGGAAAGCCAGATTTTCCAGCACCATTTATTAAAAAGGCTTTTTCCAGTGAATGTGTTTGGCCCCTTTGTCAAAAATAAGGTGGGTAGTATGTCTGGAGTTGTTTCTGCATCCTATAATCTGTTCCTCTGGCCTTTGGGTCTGTTTCTTTTTTTTTGCCAGTATCATGCCATTTTTATTATAGTAGTTATAGTATAATTTTGAGTCAGGGATTGTGATGTCCCCTGCCTTGCCTTTGTTGCCCAGGATTACCTTTGCTATTCTAGCTCTGTATTGGTTGCAAATGAATTTTAGGATTGTTTTCTCTAGCTATTGGAATTTTGATCAGAATTGCATTAAATCTGTATAACAGTTTGAAAGTACAGCCATTTTTACTATATTGGTTCTTCCTATTTAAGAGCAAGGGATGTCTCTCTATTTTCTTTTTCTTCTTCTTCTTCTTCTTCTTTTTTTTTTTTTTTTTGGTACCAGGGATTGAATTTACGACCTCTCGTTTGCCAAGCAGGCACTTATGCTGCTGAGTTAAATCCCTGGCCTCTAGTCTCTCCATTTTCTGATATCCTTTTCAATCTCCTTTTTCAGAGTACTGCAGTTTTCAATGTAGAGGTCTTCCACATCCTTGGTTAGATTGCTTCTTCGTTACTTCTTTTTGAGCTATTTTGAAAGATGCTGTTTTCCTGATTTCTTAGTAGGTTTGTTATTTGAGTACAGGAAGGCCATTGAGTTTTGAGTGT